TCGGGCGATAAGAGTCTCCTCTGTTGGCGGGCTTCCCCGGTTTCAGCGGTGGGACCACTCTCCCTGATTTCCGCACATCAGGAATGATGAGAGTGGTCATAGACAAATTGAGGACCTCCGTGAGGTATGCTACTCCCACAGGCCCCAAATGTTTCAACATAGCATACAGATTCCGTCGGGACCAATGGCTTTGGAGGATTTCGCCTTCCCGATGGCCCCCTTCACTTCACCGCTGGTGAAAACAAGTGGTGCACTGTTTTTGGGCAGTTTGTGCAGCCTCCAGGTCACTCGACGTTTGGCCTTGTCTACCGAAGGATGCAGTGTGAATTGCCGACTAAAATAGTTCGCGCATTTCTTCGGGTCCGACGAAGCGTGACCTTCGAATGAGATTTCCACTCTGTCATCACGCTTCGACGGGTTGGACAGGAACCTCACGGTTGACCAGAGCTTACTAACACCAGAGGTGAAGTTGCAGGCCTTCAAGTGCTCTTCCCACTTTTTCCGCTTATGTTGATTTACCAGTTGCCGAATCTCCAAATTAAGGTCCCTCAAGCGAGGGTCCCCGGGGTCGACCTACAGCTGCTTCAGCCGGGAAATTTGGGTGGACTTCCGCGATACGTCCGGACGGTATGAAGCGAGCTGCTGCGGGAGTGACAGGGCAGCAGGTGACAGGGGGTATGTACACGTTAAATATTTCGAGATCGACATCGCCTGACCAGACAGCTATGCCCTGACATTCTAGGGTAGTGTCCCTTGGGTCGATGTCTTCTTCGATTAGGCGATACTGCACTGTGTGGTGTAGAATGAACGCTAATCCTCCACCATTATCTCGCTCGCGATCTTTACGGAGCACATTGTAGGCGGCGCAACCCAACAAAGTTGAGTTGCTGAGCAACTTCGTTTCTTGGACCGCAGCTATCAATATGCCGTGCCGACCCATGAAGACTGCTATCTCCTCAATCTTGCTCTGGAGTCCGTTGCAGTTGAGTTGGAGTACGTTCGTATGCCTTGGGAGGCTGGTCGCGATACGGGGAGTGAGGGAAGTGTGGGGCCTACCTTGGGCCTGTTGCGCCTGACGCAGTTGCTGTTGCAGCCTGATGGTAGGTGGCTGCGATGTGGGCGTTGTTGTCTGCGCCGGCGGTGCACTACAGCAAGGGGCGCTGTAGTTGGTAGTCCACTCGCGTGTGGTGCGTAGACCAGAACATAGCCGGAAGTGGCACCAGCCAAGGCATGTGTTGCATTTGACTGATGTCACATTCCGGTATATTCTGTTCTGGCACACGGAGCAGATGGTGTGGGCAACCAGTAGCTGCTGGTTGGCTCGCGCTCGCGAGTGGGACCGGCCGGTAGGTTGTGTGGGTGGGGTGTTTTGGGAGGTTCGCTGTTGCTCAGGGGAGCTTCTGGGGGCCGTGCAGGCTCTTCGGGTGCTGGGTCGCACCCGTGCATTACGCGAGTGGGTAGCCGTGGAGGCTGATTGTGCCATTTGGCTTGAGCAACAGGGAGCCACAAAGTTTGTGAGGGGTGAGACCTAAGACCAGAGCAGGTTCTTAGGTGACTCCATCCGTTGCAGGAGTTGCACCTAACCGAAGTGGAGTTCGGGTGGAGTCGATTCTGGCAAACACAGCAGAAGTAAATTTCAGGTCCGCGGTTGGGCTCTACGCCCGCCCGGAGAAGAAGGATGCGGAGCAATCCGGCTGCAAGGTATTGCTCTATGGACGAATAATGATTGGTGGGTATCGCCGATCTAGACGGGGTTAGATCGCCGAAACAACAGCCCTTCCTCGGGTAAAACCCGAGTCATTCCGGTACGTAGAACCGGCTGTCGTGGGAATGATCTAATATGCATCATGTTCCTCTGTTACTAAAATTTGAATTTTATGTATTCCCGTCTTTCAATGCTGGTGACAAACCTATGTTTAATTATGCAGCCTGCGATTATTTAAATAGATTACTGGGTGAATTAAATTGGGAAAGCTTACTCTCTTGCCCGATGTAGCTAAATGCTTCGCTACTTTCAAATCTGTAATTTCTGATTTTTGTTTTAAATTCATTCCAATAATTAGAAAAATACCCTATAAATTACCGTGGTATAATCGTGATTTGAAAACACTGAAGAATCTTAGAAACAAATTTTATAATAAGTTTAAGGCCTTTTGAAGTCAGTTTTTCTTTGAAAAATATCAGGTCCATCTTAAAAAGTTTAACTGCTTGAATAAATTCCTCAACAGAAATTATATCTTAGGCATTAAATCCATTATCAAAGAAGATCCGAAATCGTTCTGGCATTTTATTAAGTCTAAGAGAACAACTCTAGTATTCCCTCAGCTGTATTTTTTGAAGATAAATGTGCCTCCACTCCAGCTGAAGTTGCAAATCTATTTGCTGCATTTTTTAGTTCTAATTTTGTAGATGATAACCCTACTGTGGATTCTAGTTTCTCTGCTAGTGTGAATTCTACTAATTTTGGCTCCCTTAGACTTTCGTCTGACGATATTGCGAATGGCATTTTAAATCTATCAGCTTCTGCAAAACAAGATATTGATGGGCTCTCTTCAAACTTTATAAAGAAGTGTCCTGCTTTGATCTCTCCTTTAAAAATTATGTTCAATAGGTCTCTAGCCTCCGGAATTTTTTATGATGAATTGAAATTGACTTCAATTACCCCTATTCTTAAAAGTGGCAACAAAAGTGATGTCTGTAATTACGAACCCATTTCGAAACTTTCCACAATTTCCAAACTTTTTGAAGTTATCGTCAAGGAGAAAATGTATTTCGCAACAAAAAGTCTAGTCTCACCTAATCAACATGGTTTCGTCCCCAACCGATCTACGGTTACTAATCTAGGCGTCTTTAGTGAGTATTGTATTGCAGCTATCTCGAACGGTTTCCAAGTCGACTGCATTTACACTGATCTTGCCAAAGCATTTGATAGAGTTTCGCATAGTTTGTTGGTCAGTAAGCTAGCCTCACTCTCACTCAGTATTTTTGCAATGGCTCAAATCTTATTTGTCGGATAGGCGCTGTGTGCTCTCTGTTAATGGTTGTTCTTCGGAATCTTTCATTGTCTCATCGGCGGTTCCTCAAGGTAGCATTTTAGGTCCCTTACTCGTTTTATTATTTATAAAAGATGTGAGTTCTTGTTTTTCATTTGCTAAATTTTTGCTGTATGCTGACGATTTAAAAATTTTTGCTGTGATTGAAAATTCGCATGATGCGCTTAGACTTCAGTCCGAGATTAATATTCTACACAGCTGGTGTCTCAGCTCTCGCCTTTCTCTGAATATTAAAAAATGTTTCATGTTACTTTTTCCAAAAGTCACAGTATTCTTTCGACGTCTTATGTAATCTTTCAAACTCAACTTCAAAAAGTTCAAGAAATCAAAGACCTTGGTGTAATTTTTAGCTCTAATTGGTCTTTTAACAGTCATATCAGTCACATCATTTCTATATCTTACGCTGTACTTGATTTTCTCAGGCGTCAGAGCTGAATGTTCTCTGACCCCTATACACTTAAATTGTTATACACATCTTTTGTTCGTTCTAAGTTAGAATAGGCTTCTTTTATCTGGAGGCCATACCACTCAAACCTAATTAATAGGATTGAAAGGGTTCAAAAGGTTTTTCTTAAATTTGCCCTCAGAAATCTTAACTTCAGCGAGCCTAATCCATCGTATAAGTCTCGTTTGCTATTAAAATACCTTAAATCTCTGAAAGCCAGAAGATCTTTGCTATCTCTAACTTTTACCTGTAACTTAATAAATGGTGTGATCGATTGCCCTACGCTCCAGAGCAGGTCAACTTCAATGTTCCTCTAAGGAATCTTCGCAATCACCTGCCGTTTTATGGAGGAAATTGTAAAACAGAGTATGCCAGAAATGCTCCTATTTCAAGAGCTTTAAACGAATTCAACACGATCTCGAATTCTATCGAACTGCATTTCTCTCTTCCAAAAAGTTTATTTATTTTATCTTTGATCTCCATACTGTAGAGTGCTTTATGTCTTACACGTATCGTCTGAGTAGCTAATTTTTATCTCTAGTCTGTAAGGAACTAGACTATGACTGCAATAAATTAAAAAAAAAAAATAAATGGAGTAAATGAACTCAACTGAACACATATTCATTAGTTTTTATACATTTGTTATGTTTTAAGTGTACACTTTCGCGAAATTCTGTATTTAATAGCAATATTCCGATGGTGAAAATCCGCACAACAATCTTGTGTAGTTACGGCGGGTTCACCGTTCGTGTCCGGACAACTTTCGGAGGAGAAGCTCGGCCAAACACTAACATATGTGTAAGCGCCAATCTATATATATTTACTTGCAGCTGTAATTCCCAGTGGACTGCACCCAGCGTTGCCAGGTTGACGTTTTTAACGTCATTTGGGCGTTTTTTGTATCCTGTTGACGTTTGGAACTTTTTTTGTGTAAAAATGACGTTTTTAACTTCCCAGTAATTTTTCTGTTACTAGATCTTGTAAGTAGAACTGATTTCGAATTATCTTAATAAATCTTTCCAAGCTTTGTGTTTTGCAGCAGCTGCTTCAAAAGATATTTATTCTTTGGACACAGATGACTTAAATATTATGCATACCATGCGTACGAACATTTTTTTGGATTCTTGGACTAAGGATTCCGTTGTTGTTGTAGCGGCTACAACAACCCCGCCCAGATCGGTTGGTATCTCAGTCGTTGTCGTCAAGTTCCACTAACGGCAACCCTAGGAAGCGTGCAGCTTCTGCGGGGTTTGCCCATAGGGACAAGGCCGTTAGGGATGTCGGGTTTGCCGGGCATGCGAAGAGATGTTTCGAGTCATGTGGGGTCTCTCCGCATGCCGGACATTCGTTCGGCACATCCTCATTCAGCCTACTCAAGTAGGAGTTTAACCTGCTGCATTAGCCGGAGCGAAGTTGTGCAAGTGTAGTGCGTGTCTCCCGAGGCAGATGAAGCTCCGTCTCGTCTATGTCCGGGGGTGGTGTGCCTAGAACGGCATTCACAGGTCTAGAGTCTACATAACTCGAGACTGAGTCCCTGTGAATGCCGTTCAGGGCCTGTCTGTAAGCTGTCGGGTCCAGAGGTTGCTTAATGAACCTCTGGACTTCGTCCGTTAGTTCATATAGATGCCTCCTGACGTGCCTAGGCGAGGGCTCCTCTGCAAGCAGCTGTCTGCTTGGGTGGCCACTTCTGTGGCTCCCGATCAGGAACTGCTTGCAGAGCATTATATTATGCTCCTTTACCGGGAGCCTTTGCGCCTCGCCGTGCAGGTGGTGTTCAGGCGACATCAAGAGGCATCCCGTCGCTGTCCTGAGTGCGGTGTTTTGTACAGTCTGTAGCTTCGTCCACTGCGTCCTACTAGTCCCTGGCGACCACTAAGGATCCCGTGTCAAAGGCTGGTTGTTTAAACACTTGAGGTTACGAGGCTTATTGTAATGTTTGCAATTGCACATTAAAAGCCAAATCAGGAAGGGCTGATCTCTTGCAACACGTTATGTTATTGAATCATGGTTCGGCACATTTGATTTTGTTCTAAAGCAAACAGCTGATGATATTATTGGCTACATACGACTTTGAGGGCAAATAATACATGCAATTCGCTGCAAACGCATACAAAGGATAACGCGGCAACCCGCATCATCAAGTCGTTCGGACAGAAAATCAAAATCAATTTGATTCGAACAAAGAGTGTTCAGCACATTTTTGTCGCGCTCTCAGTAAGACAGAGTGGGAAAGGAACGCGTAAAATTACTAGCAAAAAGTGTCCGGACACGAACGGTGAACCCGCCTTTAATATAAATAAGATGGAGGAAAACTGGTGCTGCCACTCCATTAATACAATTTGTATTTCAACTTTAAAAACACCCAAATAATGCACAAGAAATAAATTTTTGTGAAAAGGAATTTCTGTTCCTTTTCTTCGCACGCAGAAAGGAGAATTCTACGTAGTGAGGGTTATAGTCTCCTTTTGGTGTGCACCAACTGGGGCTACCGCCCCAGTGATGTAGC